TTCATCACTGATTCTCTCTGGTATTTATTCTTATTCCTCTTACATATAAAAGACAACTAAGCCTAAGCACCAGTCTTATTTCTTAGTACCAGCAGCTCTTACTATTATTTTATTCAGTGAGTGTTGATTATGTGGTTATTGTATAGTAAGTAATTTTCTAAATCCTGGGAAGTGTAATACAAAAGTACATACGATCTCTACCCTTAGAAGATTTTTATGCTTTTGCAAAATCACAAACTTTGAAAGTAGTATAAAGCATTTCTGGCTCAAGTTAAAGTTTTTGTAGGAACAGACTAAATACAGCCAAAATTCAAGGAGAGAAATGTCTTTGTGATAGGATTTAGCCACTGAATATGTTTTAAATAAAAACTGATTTTTGATCTAGAGAGGGAATTGTTAGGAGCTACAAGTCTACTCATTATATTTATTCCCATCTTATATTTACAACAACCTAATTATCTGCCATTTAGTAAGCATTTTATTGTGTGAAGACACTTCAAGTACATTATTTCAATTGATTTTTTTACAACCTGATGAGGTAGGTAATACTGTCTTCATTTTACTATTGAGTCTTAGAGGTTAAATAACTTATCTCAAGCCACACTGCTAATAAATGGCAGACCAGAGACTCAAACTCTGGGTTGTATTGTCTAATGCCTGACTTAACTGTTGCTACTTGTCATCCACACTTGATAAAGGAGGAGCCTAAGGCTCAGAGAGGCTGAGTTACTTGTTTAAGTTTACACAGCTATAAATAGCAGAACTGATACTTAAAACCCAGGTCTCCAAAGTATTAGGCTAAATCAGCTATTTTGAACCAGTGTGTTGCAGCACACTGGTGTGTCACAAGAATTTTTAAAATATGCAGTACCTGACTATTTAGTCAGGGGCACTGACCTCTTTTTCCTTAGATTGTCCAATTGAAAAATGACAACAGCCAACACAACAATAACCATCCTGTGTGAATGAATCAAAATTATACCTTTTTTTTTTTTTTTTTTGGTCAGATCAGAAAAAAATACAATGTATTTTTTGGTGTGTAGCAGGATTTTAGTAACTAGTTTATGTATGCCATGAGGTGGAAAAGGTTGAAAATTGCTGGACTAAATCATGTGAATTTGCTGATATTTGACTGTTTGTGACCTGTAAAAGTAGCAGTTTTATATATATATTTCAGTTTCATACATGCTCTTTGCACTATACCATATAATCCTTGAATGAATATAATGTCAAGATTAAAAGCAGGTAGGGAAACGGTGTAAGAAATTGTCAGAGGAGGGACGATCTGGGTTGGTAAGGTAAACCTGCCAATGGAAGTTGAGGAATGTCAGGGTGAAATTTCAGAACTGATCCAGTAACAACCAATAAACATTTTCTGTTCTGCACACTGCTAGGCACTCCTCATCCTGTAACACAGGTTCTGGTTTTGTGCACAAAGAACCAGGGATGTAGCAAGAATGGGCAGATCTGTTTAAGGGACCCTGAGCTGGGCCTTACATGAAGGAGAGGAGTTAACAAGAAGAGAACAGAATGAGCATGGTGATACACAGGGCTCCTTTATAAGTGTGACATGAATGAACTAAGATTTTGGAACTACTGGTCTCATACTGAGTTTTAAATTGTTTATGGTATAGAAAAGCTTTTTGGAATTTCTGAAGCAATTTCAATGGGTACCCAAGAAGGAAGTAACATTCTATCAGTTTTTCTTTTCTTCCAAATTATTTTATGATTTAGTCTCTGAAATTGTTATAAAAGTGCCTTTCTCTGCTTAGTATCCTCAGTCCACTGTGAGTTTTTAAGGCTTTACCTCATAGAATTTTAGCACAGGATGGAACACTGAAAGTCATCTCATCCTTAACTCAGTCCTAACCCTTCTCCAGATAAGGAAAGCAAGACTTCTTGAAGTAAACTAAATCACACGTGACACCACAATTAAAACTCACATCTGGTCATTTCTACTCAAGGACACTTTACACTGCTATATGGCCTTTCATTTTTACTTGATGCACCTTAGAGTGTTCCTATGTTTACATACTGAAACTGGACATAAAATTCTTTATGAATATATGTGTTTTTTATGTTTGATGAGATGTAACTCCAGATTCTTTTTTTGAGTTTCCTATTGGGTATTTAGTAACATATCAAGAGAAAAAGGTGCTTTTTAAAAAAATCCTTATGAAATCCATTTTAGTTTATATGTTCTTGAGAATTTTAATATATGATGTATAAATACATAGACAAGAACACATGTAATATGTGAGTAGTGAAACCTGGTAATAAAATGCACACTCACGAACCCACCGCCCAACATAAGAAAGGGAGCACGATCAGTTCCCACGAGTCTCCGGTGTAGTCCTCACCCGTGACCCCCTTTGCATCCTCTCAACGCCCACAATGCCATTTTCCATCATCTGTCATGTTTCTACCTTTCATAAGTGCCCTCTGGCTGATTAAGAAATTCTCTTAAATGAAATTTAAGTTGTTAAATGTAGGTTTCATAAATGGATATTAAATTTTATCAAATACTTTATTTGTATCTGTTGAGGTTTTTCTTCGTCAACCTGTTGATATAATGAATTGGATTAATAGAATTTCTAATGTCAAGTGGCCTATGCAACTGTAGAATAACCTCAACTTTTTAAATAATTTTGTTGCTGAATGAGTCAGGAACTATTCCTCGTTTTTCAAGAATAATTTCTTTAAGATGGAAAATGTCATTTTCTTGAGTGATAGAACTCGCCTGTAAAACCTTTGGATTTTCTATAATGTATAGAAATTTTGATAACTTATAGGCTTTTTGGGGTATATTTCTATAACGTATATAGAAATTTTGGTAATTTATGTTTTTTTGAATTTGTCTATTTCACTTTGGTTTTTATTTACTAACCACAAAATTTTTATAGTATGCTCTCATTTTGTTTTTTTTGAGAAACTTATAGCTTAGTTCTTTTTCTGACTGTGTATGTTAAATCCTTAGCTTATAAATTATCACTGCTTCTAATTTTTTCACATAAATATTTGGAATTAAGTATTTTTCACTCAGTACTTCTTTAGTTGGATGCCCCAGGTTTTAGCATGATTTGAGTTAAAACTCAGTTTAAATTGTTTTTAATTTCCATTTTGTTTTCTTTGAACAATGAGTTATTTAGAAGTGTTTTTAAATGTTTAAACATGGGATTTTTAAAGATTGTAAATCAATACAAAAATATATGGTTTATATGATACTAAATTTTTAAAAAATTTTTGAGATCTGTTTTATAACTTAGTACATGATCAGTTTTTATAAATGTTCCATGGGTGCTTAAAAAATGCATATTGTCATTTTTCAGGCATAGAGTTTATGGAGTTCAGGTTGTACTATGTACATGTTTTGTTTTTTGGTCTGATTTTATGTATCATTTACAGAGGATTTTTTAAAATATCTCACTATGATTGATCGTGAATGTTTTTCTTGTAGTTTTATTATCTGTTTGGAAGCTTTGTATAGGTACAGCCTATATTGTAATAGGCACAGCATATAAATTTTGAATTGTTTTCTTCTGAATTGAATTACTTGTATCTTTCCCTAGTAATTTTTTTATTCTCTAAAATCTATTCTCTCTGATATTAATATAATTATATAATTTTGGGGGGGTAGTTTTTGCCTGGTTATCTTTTTTTATCCTTTAACTTTCTGTTTTCTCTGTCTCTGTGAATTAGATATGTCTCTTATAAACAGCATTTACTCTAGCCTGACAATCTGATTTTTAAAATATTTTAACTGGAGAGTGTAATCCATTTATATTTATTACAATTACTGTTCTTATTTTATGCTTTATTTCTTTTTTTCTTCCTTTGAATTCAATAATATATTTCTCATTCCATTCTTTTTCTCTCTGATTGGGGAGTTAGATATATTATTACTTTTAGTAATTGCCTGTGAAATTTTAACTCTCATGCCCAACCTAAAGTTAGTATCTTTAGGCTGAACAATATGAAGATTTTTAAATTTATGTTTCTCTTTCTGATGCTATTGTTATTCAGATTTTAGTACCATCTTATTTATTAGCTTGGTAATTCTATAAATTAGTCATTGTTTTCATTGTTTAATATTTTCAGTGTATGGATTCATACTTGTGTTTACCAGTAATCCTGATATCAATTTGGCCCTTCCATTAGGGAAAAATTTTTCTTCTTCCTGAATGCTATAGAAATTCTTATGGTAAGAATCTATGAATGATAGACTCAGTTTTTTCTCATCTGAGAATGTTATTCTGACCTCATTCTTCACGTTTTTGTTGGCTAAACAGTTGCAGTTCACGGTTATTTTATTTTAGCAGTTTAAAGATAATTCTTCTTTCCTCTGACTTCCTTTGTTGTTATTAAGAATAACTGGTTTGTGTTTTTTTATAAATAACCTTTTCTTTATGGACGCTTTTTACTCTTTTCTATATGTCTTTGTTTTCAAGAATTTGATTATACTTTGCCTCATGTTTAACTCAGTGTCGTAGGTTTTTTCTTATTTTTTCTGCTCAGGGTTTGTTATGGTTGGGGCTTGTTAGATTTCCCATTGATTCTGGAAATTTTTTGCAGATTCACAGTGGATACATTTTCTCCCTTCCACACAGAATTACCAAGACAGACAAATTTACTTACCTTCTTTTGTAGGGTAGATTTTTTTCCCCTCGTTCCTTCTTTCCCTGAGTATGAAGTCTTCCTTGGGTTTTAGCTTTAAGCATGGTGGTTCTCCAGCCTTACTCCCATCTACAAAGGCCCAAGATTTCACACCTGTTCCTCTGGGTGTGATAGGCAGTCAAAACAAAAGCTTTAGGTCATTAGTGTTCCGAATGTGTGTATTTGTGTGTGTGTGTGTGTATAATATCCTTAGAGGATTTGAGGTTTTTCTGCAAGAGTGTTTTGGGACCTCTACTGATAAAAATGGAATTCTGTCCTTTGCCTTGTAATGAAAATTTTTTCTTGTCATTTTTAAAAAATAAATCTCCTGTTACTTCTTTTTACAGGTGAGCAGTAGGTCATCCAGTCCTAGCATCAGAATGATCACTACTACCTCAGGACCAACCTCAGAAAAGCCAGCTAGAAGTCATCCATGGACCCCTGATGATTCCATAGGTACCCAGTTTATTTCCTCATTTTAATTATGAAGTTGAATTTACCATATTTATTTTTATTTAGTTGTGTCATTACTGTAATCTTTACAAAGGCAGGCATTGTACAACACTTTAGATTTTCATATTAGTAAAGTCAAATATTTAGCAATAAACTTAAAAATGTCTTTTTGAGTACTGAGGCAGAGACCATTAGCCCTCTGCATTACTTTTCACCCAGATACTAAACATTTATTTTGAAGATGGTTTGTTTAGGGGTTTTCCCAAATAAGAGATATTATATTCTTGATACTTTAGTCTGTTATTGTCTTATTATGATCCACTGTACTGAATGATAGTAGTAAAGTTGTTATGTTTTAAGTACCTAAATTCAGTAGAATGGTAAAAATAATCATCTTCATCTCAGTCTTTTGTTTTAAAGATACAAGATAACAGGTATAAAAAATTTCTGATAGTGACCTTTTGAATCAGTTTTAAATAATAGGGAAACTTCATTTTAGTTATATAAATAGTCTGTTAAATAGACCTTTTAAAGCCTGTTAAAAGTTATTAAGACTCCCTAACATGAATAACTAACTAGTCAAAATATTAGTATCAAAATCCAGTGATAGGATAGATTCAGTATGGGCAGGCAGGAAATTATGTGCCATAGTGGAATTAACTTTCCTTCGCATTAGAAGAATACCTTGATAAATACTCAAAAGTACGCTCCTATAAAAATTATTTGCATGCTATGATGTCAGAGAATGAACATCCATCTCTTAGACCTTGGAAAATTAAACCATTTAGGATTTTATATAAGATCATGTTAATGGCAATTAAATTACAGTTAAAAAGTCAGCTCTCTGTGTTTACAAACTAAAATACTGCTTATAAGTACTTATAAATATTTGGCATGGTTTAGTCACATAATTTAATTTAAAAAATTAACTGGGTGGCTTTTCTCTGTGTCATGTAAGATAGAACTATGTTTAGCCAGGGGTGTACTCTCTAGTTTTAGTAAGTTTAAATTTAGCGATAGCAAAAACTCAGTTCTAAGTTTCACCCCTAGCACAGCCTAACCTAGGACTGCTCAGAACATTTACTCAGCACGTGTGCAGAATTCACCATGATGTGCTTCTCCTTAGAGGCAGACAGGGAAATGCTCTTGACAGATTTGATCATTAATCTTCAGGTAATATCAGCTCTTTTTGGTTTCTAAACCCTCAGGTGAGGGAATATTCTCCCTGACATTCCAGTATTTGCCTAAACCTGATACTCAATGTGGCAGGCCTCCTAACTTCAGCCTAGACTAATCTCAACATGTAACAGACTGTGAGTTCATGAGGGTAAAATCAAAATTCTCTTAGGTCCATCTCACTTAACTGCTTTGTTTCCACTTCATGAGTTCTTCCAACCCCCATCTCATTTTTTTTGTTTTCTGGGACCTAAAATACCACAAAATATCAATAGCTAGAATTTGTCAAAGGTCCAGCCTTGAAATTATGGCAAATGTATGGTTATCATTTTTAAATGATGTTGAATATAATTTTAGAAGTTGAGGCTCTTGTTTAAGTTTATGATTAATGAAGTTCAGCTTTGCAAAATTTCTTAAAAAAGTGTTGATAATCAAGCTAATAGAATAAATTACAGGGAAGAGATAGGTAAAGCCTTTTTCTTTGAAGGCCCACTGACTCAAGAAAAAATTGGAAGTGCATACATAAGTTAAAACAACCTAGTTAATTTGATTTTTCTTTTAATTTAAAAGAGGAAGTGTTCTGTATATTTTCCAGAGAAAAATAAAGAGCAGGATGATTTAATAATCATAGCACATATTGAGTGCTCATGATTATTTATAGGTTTCTGTTTATATTATAGTGGAGATTTAAAAAAAGACAAATGTACCCAAGAGAAGCTAGTGAGAGAGATGCCTAGACCTAGAAAAGAGAGCCACAGAGCTTAGGAAAACTCACTGGAGAGTTTCTCCTGTTCTCAGTACTTGGCCAAGGTAAAAGCATAAGACATGGGCCACTGCTACAATCTGATTAGAGCACCGTAATACTGACACATAAAAATAAGGTCATCATGCTTGCTATGTAATAAAACTACTAAATTTGTAGTGCAAGCTGAGTGTTTTAATAGCTAAGACAGAAATCAATTAGGTAAAACCTGGCATAGTCTGCAACTTTTTTGTAAAATTGTGAGACTTGTTCTTTAGTCATAAAGCAGAAAGAAGACAACATTTCACATGAAGGGAACACGTACTTAGAGAATGTGAGATGGTTATGAGTATTGTGTTTGAGGGGGCCAAAAGATATTTTTGCCTAATTTAACCAAAGAAATATGAGTCTTGACATTCAGGAAATGAGATTAGATTTGATTAGCAATTGAAACATTAAAGATGTTTCATGGACAAACTCTCATGGAATATCCTTTGCTGTCTTATGATAAATTATTGCTATTAACACTAAAAACTAAAGTTCAGTTTGTATATAAATGAGAAAGTGAAATCTCACTTCTTGGTTTTAGAGAAAAACTAATATTCAATAAAGGACCTTAAGTTCCCCACCATTGGAGGCCTTTAATTGTTTGAATAAATACTTGGATTTTTTTCCACCCGCAGAATATTATGAGACATTGATATATTATACTTAATTCTGAAATACATATCAGTGTCTAAGATTTAAGAACGGGTAATAGGAGTGGAAATGTTAAATATAAAAACTTTCAAGGCAGTTTTCCTATAAAGTCAAGGGGGTTTTTTGAAAATTTGTTTATTTTTTAATCCTCACCCAAGGATATGTTTATTGATTTGAGAGAGAGAGAAACATCAATGTGGGAGTGCAACATCCATCGATTTCCTCCCAAACGCACCCAGGCTGGGGATCAAACCCTTTACTTTTCGATGTACGGGATGACATTCTAGTCACCTGAGCCACATCGGCCAGGGCAAGGGGAAATCATTTTTAATCAATTTCAACTTTGTGGAAAGTAGTGTTCCGTGGGAGCATAATTTGAAACTGCTGTTGGGGATGAGGAAAGGGTTGGTCAGAAAGATAACAAATTAACTGTACTTCTTATTTAAACATTTCAGAAAAACATTTATGTTAGTGTATGATTTTAGGGTAAATAAGGCTCTCCTAGGCAGTACTGTTGTTCTTTCTTTAATAAATATTACTTTTCAAACTGAATTACAAACTTGAGTATGTTAAAATGCCCTCCCTTCCCTATTCATTTAGCATCAATAACAAGATCACTAATGGTCAGCATCATGTGGCATTTCTTTTTTTTTCTTTTTTTTTGGTTTGAAATACTCTATTTTGTAAAGCGTGGTATTTCTTACAGGCATTAGATTGTTTGGTCTGTTAGCGTAAGCTTTTGGAGTTACTTGCAAGCACATTCTCAATAGTTTAAAAAAACACAAAACACTACTACTAGAGTACCAGTCAACAGTAAGTTAGGATGTTACTGAACTATCCAACTCTTCGTTTTTTATTGCATTGATGCAGTGCCTTGCTGTCCTCCTAACCTTGCCTTTATCTGCACCACTCTTTCAGTGAGTTACTTGTCGGACAGAGGGCTGAACAGCAGCTCGATTGTTTAGTTCATTTGTTCTGTACTAACAGTGGGAAAGCAGCTACTGCTGAAATAGAAAAGTTCATAATACTTTACAGTTATCCTGCCTGCTTCTGGAACTGTTGTGCATAAATGTTAATGTTGTGAAGAGACAGTCCCATGCTTCTCAGGCAAGTAGTTAGGGCAGTTGACTTCTTTTCTTTTTTTTTAATTTATCTTTATTTTTGAAAGTAGTACAGATATCCCCCTTTTTTCACCATTGACCCCCTCCACCCCACCCCACCCGGACTTCACCACACTATTTTCTGTGTCCATATGTTATGCATATAAGTTTTTGGTTAATATTTCCCTCCCAGCACCCCATCCCTACCTCCCCTCAGATATGTCAGTCTGTTCTATTCTTCTATGTCTCTGCATCTATTTTATTTATCAATTTATTTTGGTCATTAGATTCCACATATGAGTGAGAACATGTGATATTTGTCTTTCTCTGACTGGCTTATTTCATTTAGCATAATACTGTCCAGTTCCCTCCATGCTGTTCCAAAGGGTAAGAGATCCTTCTATTTCACAGCTGCATAGTATTCTATGGTGTAAATTTCCCACAGCTTTTTTATCCAAGTTGACTTCTTTTGAAATACAAACAAAAGCTTTCTGTTCAAATAATTTGATAAAATTTGGCTGGTTGTTTGAATTAACCCATTTAACTGTTTGGGCTTGACTTTGAGTCACAACTTCATATGTGTAATATACTCCCATCAGTAGCATCTCTCATTTTCTGCAGTGATTCTCGTTAGGAGGAGTGAGATTGGAGGCTCACAGTAGAACGTATACATTGAAGGTGGTCCCCTGGAAGAGAAGGTGTCTCATTTCCCCCTTTTCCCTATTAAGGAACACTAATGTTGCCACAGTTGACGCAGCCTTAGAGAAAACCTAGCACGATCTGGAAAAGAAGCAGATGTGAGTTTGATTAGGTAGAGTCTGTGAAGACTGAATTTAAAATGTAAAGGGCATGACTGTGAATTAAAAACAAAGGGTACTGTAGTCATGGTTCTGTATAATGACGAAGTGTTAAAACAGCAATGTAAATTTAAGTTCTGAATTAACTCTGACAAAAGGACACAGATTTTCTAGAGCATGGTTTCACACTTACTTCTAAAAGATCATTACTTGAATATATCACTGGTGTTTTTTTTTAATGAAACAAGGGCTTGTAAGCTTTAATATTATTTAATTTATAGCCAACTTAAATTGTAAGTATGAGAGTATGGTTGCATTCTAATTAGCCGGTAATTGGATATCCTCTGTTTACCTTTAGAATTCAAAACTAGACTCTTCATTACCAGTAACAATAACTTTTATGTGTTATTTACTTTAAGAAAAAAAATACCAATATTTCATGCATACTTTCCCGCTTTCGTTCATAATAATTTATGACAGAAAATAAATAAAGCACATGCTTGAATTACAGATACCAATGGATCAGATAACTCCATCCCAATGGCTTATCTTACACTGGATCATCAACTACAGGTAAAGGAGCACTGTACTTTCTCAGTCAGTGTTTACTTTTTCTTATAAAAAGCTCAGAGAATTTATCTTTAAAGCTAACATTTGTGTTTCTGTCGTTGTATATTCATTCATTTATGCTTTTAGTTAACCTCCTTAATCTTGTTAAAATGAATGATCCTTTCAGTTAAGTTAATCAAATTTAAAATTGGCAAAATCATATGTTCTTATCCTATCAGTCATGTTAAAATACTCTCATATCTTTAAGACTGCCAAAAATAGCATTTTTGTTCTTTAATTTTAGTGCACTAAAATTAAAAAATTCATATAAGCTCATTTCTATGTAATAAATTTTGTGATACGTTTTCATATTCATAGTGGCTGAAAATTTAAGTCATACACTTCAGTGTTTCCTCGTGGGTATAAGAACTATAAACATTTTTTGGTATAATGCAGCTTGGCAACCTGAAATGTAAAACCAGAGGCCAAGACTACTCAAGTCATGGTTCTCTGGAACAACAACAGTGTTAAAGCAGCAAGTATAAATTTAAGTTCTGAGTTAACTCTAACAAAGGACACAGATTTTCTAGGGCATAGTTTAACACTTATTTTTAAAAGATCATTATTTTAGTGCTATAAAAATAATATATCGCAGTCACTGTCTTAACTCTCATCTTAGCTAGATAGTGAGATTTAATTTAATTGTGTTTTAACATTTTATTTATTTTCAGCCTCTGGCACCATGCCCAAACTCCAAAGAATCTATGGCAGTGTTTGAACAACATTGTAAAATGGCACAAGAATATATGAAAGTGCAGACGGAAATTGCATTGTTATTACAGAGAAAGTAAGTTATCTTTTATGAACAAAAATTAAAACTCATTAGTGTTTTGAGTTTAAGATATGTTAAGGTGCAATATTGTTTGAAGACATGAAAACTTTTTCATTTTTAAAATTAACCATTATGCATATTTCTAACTTGGAGATTTTGTATGTGTTTATGGTTAAGTACCCTTTGGCTATTTGTCATGCAAAACTCAACCCTTTTGACTATATCATGTTATAGTAGTCCTACGGAAAGTGAACTGGTGGTATGTTTTATGCTCTCAGTGTTTTAAAGTTAAAAGCTGTTTAGATTTGTTCTTATAAAGATTTGTTTTCTTGGGCATAGGTAAAATAATTTGATTTAGTAATGTTCAGTTGTGCTTTGTCTTAGAAACACTTTTGTAGACATGTTCTTTCCAGGCATGTGGTTAGGAGAGTACAGTTACTTGTTGGTGGGCTTTATTTCATACCTTATGAGTGTTTTTCTGGGGAGTTTTATACTCACATGTGTTTCATCTGAAAGTTATAGAGACTTCCTTCCTCCCTTTTTAAAAAAATACAGTACAATTTTTATATTACTTTATTTGCATTTATTTTTTAAAAAAAGAAAAAGCCTATAGTTTGTTTAAGCATCACTCTCATGAAATTTTATGCCTCTGAAGCTGTATATGGTGGTAACTAAAATGAAGTGTTGTAGGAAAAACTCTCGGAAACTATATACACACACACACATGATAACAGGATTTCCCCTATTAATTTTTTTTTTTTTTTTAATATATCTTTATTGATTTCAGAGAGGGGAAAGGAGAGGGATAGAGAGACAGAAACATCAATGATGAGAGAGTCATTGATCGGCTGCAGCCCACAACCCGGGCATGTGCCCTGACTGGGAATCGAACCCAGATCGCCTGGATCCTAGGTCGACGTTCAACCGCTGAGCCACGCCTGGCCGGGCTCCCCTATTAATTTTAATCAAATAAGTAAAAATTCTGGTTTCCTGTAGTAATCTGTGGAAAGTTTTCTGTTTGTATTTCCAAGAAAAAGAGAAAAATAGTTTTAGTTTCATCACAATTTACTGATAATAGCAATTTAAATGATTTCAACCTAGTACAGTAAACCCTCCACTTTGCGAACCTTGATTTTACAGACTTTGGATTTAATGGACAAAATTTCCTGTCCATATGTCATATGTGAAAATTACCCTGTTAATTTTTAAATGCTTTTAACCAAGATTTGTTTATAATTAAATTAACAGGCTATTTTTTTTGGTTATTAATTCACTATTATTTTTAACAAATTTTAGCAGAAAGGCCATATGTTGGAAAAACACTGTAGTAATTTCACTGACAGAAATAAACTCTATTTCTTATTTCACATATTTATTCTATACTTTTTCCATACTTTAATCATTTGAAAGAGAAGTTCTGTGCTGAAAAAAACAATTAGTAGATTGTGGGATGTGAAAACTATGACAGTTTAAATCAGTTTTAAATACTTTAATTGAGAAATATTACTGGGAAATCAGTTTTAGAACTTTTCATTAATTATTCAGGTATATCCAGGAGCCTTGCTTCAGGAGCTAATACTTAATATCCCCCAAATAAAAGGGACTTAAACGTTTATTAGGCTATAAAATATAAAAGACTGTGAGGGTCTTTCCTGAAAATGTTTGCAGACAAGGTACTTTGTATTTGTTCTTACTGTTTTAAAATAGGAAAGAGATTTAAGTTGATAGCATCTATTTTAATTAGCTTGCTAATGTTCTGTTAGCTACCACTTTGCACTGTAAATAGGATTGTGACTTCAGAATATAAGTACATGAGTATAAAAGTGGAATGTGAGCTATAAAATCTTTCAAGTGTTATTTTCCTATAGTCAGATGTACCCCTTCCTAGCCTTTTTTCCTTCCTTCCTCCACAAAAAGGATATCAAATGAAACTTTCTAAAACTTTTATTATATCATTTTATCTATTTTCATTAATGATCTAAGTACAGTTACTTATTAAAAGAATTATGATATTTGTATGGTTACACCAGAAGAGCGATTGATAGTTTCCATTCCAGTCCACAAATATATTTTGAGTGGTGTGCCTAAGATGCGTAACGATAAGCCCAGATAAAAGTTCTAATTCATTGAGCTTCTGTCATCAGCTATTAAGGTATGAATTTTTCCATCATGTAGAATATGTTATTATTGGTATTTGTTTTTAGGCAAGAACTAGTTGCAGAACTGGACCAGGATGAAAAGGACCAGCAAAATACATCTCGTCTGGTACAGGAACATAAAAAGCTTTTAGATGAAAACAAAAGCCTTTCTACTTACTACCAGCAATGCAAAAAACAACTAGAGGTCATCAGAAGTCAGCAGCAAAAACGACAAGGCACTTCATGATTCTCTAGGACCGTTAAATTTTAAAATATGCAAAGAAAGACTTTTTTTTTAAGGAAAGAAAAACCTTTATAATGACAATCATGAGTGTTAGCTTTTTGGCGTGTTCTGAATGCCAACTGCCTATATTTGCTGCATTTATTTGTTTCATCGTTTATTTTCCTTTTCTCATGGTGGACATGCAATTCAACTGTCTCCTTGAATAACATGGGGGCACCTGTGACTTGAATAAGCAGCAGTTCTCAGCTTCAAAACAGACGCCTGAACCGTGGCTGTATATGCATGCTCTGTGTGTGAAGGCCAGCCTAACAGAAACAGGTGGTATCAAACTAGCTGCTGTGTGCAAACACCTTTTTTTTTTTTTTTTTT